CCGTTCCGCGGCGGATGCGGGGAGCGGAAACCTCACCAGGCTGCCCACGGGGCTCTTGGGTGGGGTCCTGAGTAGGAGCCGCGGGGATACCCTTAAAGCCCCCACGGCACCTGGAGAAAGTCAAGGCTTTGGGAAGAGCAGACGCCAGTCGGACGCGGCACCTGCCGCGGCCACGGTGGGCCGAGGGTGCGTCGTGGTGCCAGGTCCCGGGATGCGGTGGTTTCCTGCAGGTCCGCGCAGGCTCTGCAGCCAGACCGTGGGCGTTCAGACGCTGGCTCGGTACCACGCCCCCACTCACCGGCTGCGTGACCCAGGCACTCGGACCTCGCGGTGCCCCACTTCTCTTACTAGAAAATGATCCGAGGTGTGGGGAGGAGTAAACGAGTGGCTGTTTGAAGAGGGTTCGAACAGTGTGTAATAGACCAGGGAAAACACGATTTCGTTCCATTGCCACACGTTAGCAATTGTTATCACTATTCTCACAGCGGCTGCTAACTGGAGCCCCTGCGTTTCAGAGCAGACTGCGTTCCACGAGATTCTCCATGCTGTAATGCACACCGGCCTTTCTTCCGAGGTGCTGCGGGAAGAGCTCACCCGGCCAACTTTCATGACTAGCCACTGCGGGCGCCGCGGACCCTTTGCTCATCCTTAGGGTCATCCTTAACCCTCTGCCGCACCTTCTCGGTCTCCAGGGCCCCATCTCTATCCACTTACGGAACAGGGATACTCTGTGGCAATTTTGTGCCTAGACCTCTCATTCTCGAGCCATCTCTCCCATTTCCATGCTGTCTACCAGGCTGCGAAAGCTGCGGACGTGCAGACCAAACTTCCAAGGCAGTGCCCTCTCGCTCTCTTCTTCCAACATTCTCCCTAGTTTCATGCCCAACAGGAGTACTGGTGGCACAGTGGGTAGCACGTTGTCCTGCTAACCGCTTCGTCAGCAGTTCAAACCTCCCAGCTGCTCCTTGGGAGAAAGAGGAGGCTTCTATCCATGTAAAGATTTATTTTAGTACATTCTCAGGAACCTACAGGGGCAGTTCTAGCGTGACCTAGAGGGTCACTCTGAGTCAGAATAGACTTGGTCACAGTGAGTTTGTTTTAGCCTATTGACCAGCCACTAGAACAGTGGTTCTCAACCCGTGGGTCGTGACCCCTTGAGGGGTCCAACAACCCTTTCACAGGGGTCGCCTAAGACCATCGGAAAACACATTTTTCTGATGGTCTGAGGAACGGAGACACCGCTCCTCTATCTGCCCACATGAAGATACACCCACACGAGTACCCGGAGTGAAGACTGTTATCCGTGCTACACCATGCTTCAAGACAAAATTTCATTTATTTGTCACTAGAAATAAATATTTCACAACATATAATTACATATTACTTTGTGATGAATCACTATGCTTTAATTATATTCAGTTTGTAACAATGAAAATACATCCTGCATATCAGATAGTTACATCAGGATTCATACCAGTAGCAAAATTATAGATATGAAGTAGCAACGAAAATAATGTTATGGTTGGGGGTCACCACAACACGAGGAACTGTATGAAAGGGTCGCAGCATTAGGGAGGTTGAGAACCGCCTCTAGAATAATGTGCCCACTGGTCTTGTAGAGGCAACTCAAGCCCTGCTGTGTCACTTATTAGCTATGTTGTACTGTGTACATCATTTGATCCTCCAGTCCTTTGTATCCTTGTCTGCAAATGGGGACATGCACATTTGCATCCTTAGATTGTTGTGATGACAACATGGGGTGTTGGGTGGGAAGCATTTCCTGATGGGGGCATGCGGATCATCCACTTGTCATTCTTCCACTAAGGAGATGGGGTTTTCACCCCATGTATGGAAAGGGGAAATTTGGAGAATTATCACAGGCTTTCAGCTATCCTCTTGCCTTCTGATTCGTGTGATGGATGAGTTTGAAAAGAGGAGCAGAAAATGTAGGTTTATTCTTTTTTGAACAAGGTGCTCTTCCTTCTCCAGGGCTGTGCTGGCCTGCCGCTGGAGGAAGGATGCTGTTGTCCTGCTCTGTCTATGAGTGAGGGGTTATGTTTTGAATAATCTATAGGAATACCGTGGATCCGATTTTTGGCTTTCTCTCTATCAAGCTTCCCATTCCTGTGTTTATTTCTCAATTAGATCCAAACTCAGTAATCCAACCCAACAGCTCCAATAATTAAAAAATGAGTAGCAATATATAGATACACATATATATATATATATTCTATACAATCACTAGAAGAAAGGAACTAATAAAGAGCATCGCTCTAAGGTGCGACTACTTATTTCTTCCTCTCCAAAGGAGAGTGAAGGAAGTTAAAGACACACGGAAAGAGCTAATCCAAAGGGTCACATTAATCGCAAACTCTATGTTCCTGAGACCAGAGCTAGATTGTGCCCTACCACTACCAGCTACCCTGAGAGGAATCACATTAGAAGGTCCTGAATATAGCTGGGAGAGAAAAATATGGAACAAAATCAAAATTATAAAATGCACCTGGCTCACTGGTCTGATAGAGACTGGTGGAACCCCTGAGACTATAGCTCTAAGGAACTTTATGCTTACTTTTCAGCCAAACAATAGATAAATAAGAGTAAGAATCACACTAATGACACGTGAACACCTTCCAAAACCAAAACCAAACTCATTGCTATTGAGTTGAATCTGACTCAGAGTGACCTCATAGGACAGGACAGAACTGCCCTGTGGGTTTCTGAGACTGCAATTATTTGCAGAAGCAGAAAGCCTCATTGTGATTCCACGGAGTACCTGGTGACTTGGAACTGCTAATCTTGTGGTTAGCAGCTCAAGTGCAACCCACTTCCAAGCACCCAGTGTGTCTGTGAACACTTAGAACAAGTAAATATTTGAGATCAAAGGGCTGAAGTTTACCCACGGAGAAAGTTCAGAAGGGTTAGGGAAGAGGGAATGGAAACCAGAAACAGAGGGAGGAAGTTGGATAAGTGAGGTTGAGGACATTGCAATGAATTAGATGATACAAAATATTTATGAATTGTTGAATGGAAAATGATTTGCTTTGTAAAGTTTCACCCACCTTACAATAAAGAGTTAAAACAAACCAACACCCAGTAAACTGCCTCAAGTCCAATGGATTAATGAGCCAGGTGGACAGCAGCCTACCATTCTGTGACCAGACTATCTAG